GATATCTGCTGCAGACATTAAAAATATTGCAAAGGATCTGGGGGAGAACTTCAATGATAGAGAGATCCAAGAGATGATTGAGGAAGCAGACCGAGATCGTGCGTGCTTAAATATAACCTTTATTTATTTTTTAATGCCTCAAAATTTATCATTTTGCTAATCCAAAGGTTATGACTTGAAATGTACAGGTGATGGAGAAGTTAATGCTGAGGAGTTCATCAGGATGATGAAGAGAACAGCATATGGGTTTTAGAACTGGAAAGGTTTTAGCCTTCTGCAGGATGTTGAGAGCCTGATCCGATGCAGAATTATTATGTATTTTACAGCTATAAGCAAACACCTTTCTTTGTTTCACTTTGACATGCTTCTGTAGAATGATAATCTTAGACACAACATGGTGCCTAGTGTAGTGTGGTGGTGGTACATGTCTGTAAAATTTTAAATATTTGAAAGTATGAAAAGTACCGTCATGGTTGACGGTATCGTTATTATTATTACTTCTTTTGTGACAAATGGAAAAGATTTCAAAGCCTTGGCTCGCAATCCTAACTCTTTTTTCCGTTCTCTTTCACCACTTCGGCTAACCTCAAGTTTTAAGTTAATAATAATTTCTCGGACTTGTTGGCACTCCAATAAAGTCAACATGCAGTTCTCTCTTATAAAAATATATCCCTTAAAAACGAAATGGAGAAATTGCATTTGCAGGTTTCAAATAATACATGGCTTCAACATTACTAGGCCACCAAAATTGTTAGTGCTAACAATTGCCAATATCCACGTTTGTGCAATGTTTGTTACACCTGCAAGCTTGGACTGGCTTCGCTAAAATTTTATCCCGTGTTTGTTTCACTCGGTTCTAATTTTAAGTGAGATTAATTAATATTGAACGAGATAAATTAATATTGGGCTCACCAAAAACACCTCCTTAGGTGTTCTTAGCTAAACCAGTCTGAAGAGGAGGGACTAACAGTCCCGACGACCCAAGCAACTAGCAACCACACCCAATCGCCCCACAACCAACGACCCACCAAGCGACAGCCACAACTACCATCTTCAACCACCAGACACGACCACCTGCCACGACCACCAGCCACCACTACCAGCCACAGCCACTGGCGGACCCAGAATTTTTTTAGCAGAGGTGCAATATTGACTAAGTATGAAAAATGGTTTTTCGGAATAATCATTTTCTCAAGATAATTTTTGGCGGCTTTTATTCCTTACACATCAAATAAGAAAACTTGATTTTATGGGATTTTAGTATGAAGTATATATTGACTTAATGAGCCATCATTTTTAGCCTAAATCGTATTTTGCACTAAAACCGAATTTTCATATTTTGATTTGGTGGGAATTTGATTTTCTAGTATTTTTATTTGAATCCAAATAGGGGGTACTTCCTTATTTACATTGTAAACTTAAGTAAATGGAGTAATATAAAAATAAATAAAAGTAAAAGGATAAAGACATTTACTTAAATGTTGAAGATGAAAATAAGGTAATCTGTACAACAGTTAAGTAAAGGGGCAATTTGAAGCATTTACAATGGTTTTTCCGGCTAAGGGAGGTGCAGCTGCACCTCTTTGCGCCTTACTAGTCCGCCAGTGGCCACAGCCACCCAAGAAGGAGAAGACAGAATAGAAGAGGAAGAGGAGAGAACATAAATTTTTCGAAAAACAAAACAAAGAAGAGGAGAGAAAATGGAGAAGAAGAGATGAGAGAAATTTTTCGAAAAAAAATAGAGAAGAAGAAAGAAAATGGAGAAGAAGAGGAAAGAAAAATTTAGAAAAAAACAGAGAAGATGAGAGAAATTTTTAAAAAAGAAAAGAAAAAAAAAGTAGACAGAAGAAGAGGAGAGAAAATGGAGAAGAAGAAGATGAAAGAGATGTAGAGGGGAAGAAGAAGAAAGAGATGCAGAGAAGAAGAAAGAGATGGAGAGAGAAGAAAAGTACAAAAATCTTACTTTTCAAAAAAAAAAAAAAAAAGTCCTAGTCCAATCAAACATACAGCAAATGCTGTATAAGTGTTTATCCAACTTATGCCAAGCCAAGCCAATCCAAGATAGTATCAATATTTAATCCAATCCATGATAGTCTCCCGTACCAAACGGGGTCTCCAAAACAAAAGGAAATGAAAAATTGGCGGCAAACCCAGAGGCCAAAATGTAGGCATCAACCGTTAGCTACGTTTTCAAATCCTACATGCATAATGCATTGTGTCTCTAGTCTCAGAGCTTTCATGGAATAATGGGTTTCTTCTTCCGAGTCTTAAACACTCTGTCTTCTTCGTCGCCGTCAATACTCTCTTTTGTCAGACACAAACATTATTCAATCACTGCCAAAACCACCCACTTCCTTCGTCTGCTAAACCTCTGCAAAACCAGCAAGGACTTGAAGCCTCTCAAGTCCTTTATCATAGTTCATGGACTTGTTAACGACGTGTTTCCAATAGAGCAATTTGTTAGGTCCTGTTTTCATCTGGGTGCTTCACATTTAGCTCTCTCTTTGTTCCAACAAATCCAAAAGCCAAGCCTTGGCTTGCAGAACCTGATAATCAGGTGCCTTTGCAATGATGGCTTATACCAAGACCTCTTATATGTCTATCTAAATTCCAGGGCTTTAGGCTGCACTTCTGATGATTTCACGTTTCCATTTGTAATTAAAGCGTGTGCAGCTCTGGGTGCTGTTAAGATTGGAAAACAGGTTCATGGTGTTGTGTTTAGAGCTGGGTTTGAGCAAAACCTTTTTATACAGACAGCTTTGACTGATTTCTATGCCAGAACTGGTTGTATGGAGATGGCACATGCACTGATTGATAGAATTCCCCAACCAGATTTGGTTCCTTGGAATGCATTGATTGCTGGTTATTCGTCGAATGGGTTTAATTGGGGAGCCTTTGATGTTTTCAGAGAGATTATTTTTATGGATTTGAAGCCAAATTTAAGCACTCTGGCGAGCATTATTCCGGTTTGCACTCGTTTGGGGTGTATTCATACTGGTAAATCCCTCCATTGCTTTGCTGTAAAATCTGGATACTTGTTCAATGATTTTCTTGTTCCCGCTTTAATTTCGATGTACGCTGGGGATGAAGATTTATGCGGTGCTATAAACTTGTTTGATTCTGTACTGGAAAAGAATGTTGTTGTTTGGAATGCTATGATTTCTGCCTACACACAAAGGCAGAAGGCCATGTCAGCTTTCAAGATGTTCCGATGTATGCTTCGAGTTGGCACACAGCCTAATTTGATCACTTTCGTGTCCATTATTCCCTCCTGTGAGAATTCCAGCAGCCTCGATTTTGGTGAATCACTTCATGCTGGTGTAATTAAGCATGGGTCAGAAAATCAACTTCCAATACTAACAGCCCTTGTATCAATGTATGCCAAGCTTGGTAATATTAATTCATCCAGGTATCTTTTTGAGCAGACGCCCAGTAAAAACCTTCTTATGTGGAATTCAATGATTTCTGGGTACGTGTACAACGGGCTATGGGATTTAAGTCTCGATGTATTTCGGAAAATGCAGTTTTCAGGATTTGATTCAGATGCAGTCTCCGTAGTTAGTATTCTTTCTGCATGCTCCAAACTTGAGGCTGATTTGCTGGGGAGGTCTGCACATGCATTTAGCATTAGAAAGGGTAGCCACTCAAACCTCAATCTGTCAAATGCACTGTTGGCATTTTACTCTGGTTGTCATCACCTCTCCTATGCAGTTACTTTGTTTCATAAAATGCCTATACGAAATGCCATAACATGGAATACGTTAATATCAAGTTGTGTGCACCATGGAGAAATGGAAAAGGCGGTTCCCATTTACCACCAGATGCAGAAGGAGGGCTTCAAGTTGGACTTGGTCACCCTGATAAGCATACTCCCTAGTTTCAGCGAGAAGGAAAACTTAGGGCAAGGAATGGCTATCCATGGTTACGCTATAAAAGACGGGTTCTCTTCTGATATTTCTATGGTTAATTCACTCATTAGCATGTATTGTAACTGTAGAGACCTTGATGCTGGTAGGTTACTTTTTGAAGTCATGCCAAAAAGGAGTTTGGTGTCTTGGAATGCTCTGATGACTGGCATCCGATACCACAATTTACAGAAAAAGGTTTTGGTCTTGTTGGGTGAAATGATGAAGAGTGGTGAGAGACCAAACTCTGTAACTTTGCTAAATTTATTGGCTGCATGCTACACACAATTACAAGGTAAGTCTATCCACTCTGTGGCCGTTATTTCAGGAATTGTACAAGAAACCCCTCTCCTTACATCACTTATGCTCATGTATGCTAGATTTGACAACACAAATTCATGTCTCTTACTCTTCCAAATGGGAAATATGGGGGATATTTCTTTGTGGAATGCCATTATTTCTGTGCACATACGAACAAAAAATAGCATAATTGCAGTTGCCTCGTTCTCTGATTTACTTCAGATGGGATTCGAACCTGACAATGTAACAGTTCTGAGTTTAATTTCTGCATGTGTTCAATTAAGTAGCCTCAGCCTTGCTCATTCTGTAATGGCTTACATCATAAGAAAGGGCTTTGACAAAGATCTGCTCATCAGTAATGCCCTAATCGATTTGCATGCAAAATGTGGCAACATATTGGTTGCAAGAAAGCTGTTCGATGGTTTGGTTGAAAAAGATGAAGTGTCTTGGAATGTGATGATCAATGGATATGGCTTGCAGGGGGATGGTGAAGATGCCATTGATCTTTTCTTGCAGATGAAACTGTCAGGAACAAAACCTAATGGCATCACTTATTCAAGTATTTTATCAGCCTGCAGCCACTCTGGCTTGGTTGAGCAAGGCCGCATGATATACAATTCCATGGCAGAACATGGGATATCACCCAAAATGGAGCACTATGCTTGCATGGTGGACCTTCTCGGAAGAACAGGCAACTTGACTGAAGCTTATGGCATTGTTAAAAAACTTCCCTGTAAACCTTCAACAAGTATACTTGAGTCTTTGCTGGGTGCTTGTAGAATCCATGGAAATGTTGAACTTGGAGAAAAAATTAGTGAGATGCTATCTAAATTGGACCCAGAAAATTCAAGATCACATGTGATGCTTCACAATATCTATGCAGCAACTGGGAGGTGGGCAGACGCTGAAAGGGTGAGATCTGAGATGGAAGATAGACAACTGAGGAAAGTACCTGGATTTAGTCTTCTCTCATAAGAAAAATTAAGATTTTTTTATATAAGAATTGTGATCCTCTGTTCTTTTCATTGGTGGGTTCCATTTGACTTGTTTGAAACCAGTAAGTAGTTGACCTTTGCATGACTTGAAAAATCAGCTCTTAGGGGCACATTGAGGACCAACCGAGCAAGACAGAGTCATGTCATTACCGTAAGAACATGAATCCAACTGTACTGTAATAGGAAAACAGTTGTTTGTGGTTGTTTGTTTTTGTTGCACCATAAATAGAGAGAATTTATGTGGTACAGTGCAGTGCAGCCACTCACATGACAGGCACCTGTTGTTGTTGTTTTTTTTTTTTTTTTTAAACAATGGGAACCGGCTGTTTTGGGTAACAGATTAAAAGAAGGGAAAAAAAAACAAAGAAGACTTGAGGCTTTAGAATGTACATTGTTTTTGGTCCTGAAGTGTACAATTATATTGTTCATCAATGTTTTTAAAGGCTGTTACTAAATTTATCTTGGGAATGCTAGCAACATTCTCTCTAACCTTCTCTTTTTGACCTTTTCTATTTTTCGTTTGACATGTGTCATTCTTCTTATACATTAAACAAGGTAACTTCTCTTTTCCAAATGCACCCTTATTGAGTATTTTTATTACTCTCTCTCTCTCTCTCGCACCCAGACTCATCCTCATAACCCACCACTCCACCCAGACCCATCCTCACACTTGGACTCCATTGATTAAGCAAACTGACTCCTTTGCTTTGGCAAAGTGAACAAATGAAACTCCACAGCACCTCTTGAGTCTTTGCAAGCCTGCTGCTTTTGCAGAAAAAAAAATTCCAGGTCCCTCCCCTTAACCCAAATTCAAAACCATTTGG